ATCCGCGGATGATCGCGATGTCCGCGGGAGGTCGCGATGTCCGCGGGAGATCGCGATGTCCGCGAAAACAAGCCATCTCCAGCGAAAACAAGCCATCCCCAGCGTTAGTCTCCTTGCGCCCCACCTGCTTGACTAGTAGTCTTGTGCGCCGTGCTCGTGCAAAAAAAGTGTGAGAGGGCCGTACTATTACATGGCGGTGCTGCAGTGTGGTGCCGGCACTGCATGCACCTTAGAGCTCACGAGCTGCGGTGTGGCGAGTAGCCCATGCGTAGCTCATGCGAGGACAACACGTTAATAGCCTTCTGCGCGTTCTACACGTTTCGGACTCATCTCCGGAGATGATTCGCCGTCCCGCGACTTACGCGGGTGATCGCTCGTTGCGGGCGGCAACTCAGGAGATGAATCTTATCCGCTGATGTCGCGGACAACAGCGGGCCGTCCTGTGGAGTCGCCGTCCGCGACCTCCGCTGTTCATCTCTTGCTCGTCTCTCTACTGGTGCTCGTCTCTCTACTGGTGCTCGTCTCTGCACTGGTGCCGCACGTGGTCTTGAGTCTCCGCTGGTGGAGGTGTTGTCCGCGGACGTCGCAGACAACCGAGCGAAAAGTTGGGGGTACACAAAACGCGAAGCATCGTGCAGGGCTTAATCCTATCACATGTGGAAGCCCATTCTCTGCGAGGCATTTAGAACGAAACGCGAGATCTGGAGCTTACAGCAAGCGAGGAAAGGAGTGCTTGGTTGTGTGTCACCGAAATATGGGCAAAGGACTCGGAAACTGCTAGGTCCTAGAGGCCCAATGAAGCATCGTACAGGGCTGAGTCCTATCACATCTTAAAGCCCGTCCTCTGCGGCGCTTTTTGAACGAAACGCGAGGCCACGAGCTTACAGAGCAAGCGAGAAAACTAGAAATCTTGCTTGTGTGAGGAAAGCTGCAAAAATTCTAAGTCAAAACTCCGGCGAACTGGACAAAATCCGGGGACGGTAAAAGGGTCATTATTTTGTATCTGCGAAAAAATACCAAAAATTCCAAGTCAAAACTCCGCCCGCCTTGGGTGCGGGTTATCCCAAGTTGGGTGGGCAACACGCGGCAGAATAAAGGGCGAGGAGTGGGGTGAGGGGCCAAGGTTACTTGGTGTGTATTAATCGGAAAGAGGCTACGCAACAGGACACACAAAGGGATGTTGTCGCTTGTTTGCTTACTTGAAGATCTTGCCGTTATCCTGGAACTTCCTGTCGCCGAAGTCGCCCTCCCACGACCAGTAGGTCTCGACGAGCTTGCGCTGGGCCGGGTCGGCGTGGTCAACCTTGGTCCAGGTGTGGTGCTCAGCGTCGGGGTTCTCCCAAAGCTCCTCGGGGAGCTCGGTGCCGCGGAAGAGCCAGAGGCCGCCAATCTGGAGCTTGGGCTCCTCACCGAAGATGAGAAGAGAGCCGAAGCCGTACTTGCGGAGCTTGTCCATGCGCTGGAGGAAGCCGCCGACCAGGTTGCTGGTCATGAACATCTTGGTGAGCTCGTCGTTGTACTTGTAGTCCGACAGCCAGAGCGACCAGCCCTCGGCGTCGAAGTGCTCCCAGAACCAGGGCATGGCGACCTTGAGGATGTCGTTGTTCGAGTAGGTCCTCTTCCACTCGTCGAGGTCGAGCTTGGTGGGCGGGAGGAGGTCCAGCTTGCTCTTGGCCTTGGGCTTGGCAGCGCCTTCCTCCTCCTCACCGCCGGCAGCGGTCTCGGCCTTCTTGGCGGGAGCGGCCTCGGCCTTCTTGGCGGGGGCAGCGGTGGCACCCTTGGCCACAGCCATCTTCTCAGCCAGCTTGGTCTCGCCCAGCACGGTCCTGAACTGGGGCTGGTTGACGCACGTCAGGAACCACCTGTTCACGTTGCCGTAGTTCTTGCGGAAGGTGATGTCCAACACCTGCAGGGAGGATGAGATTAGTGTGTGCCCTCTCTCCTCTCTCTCTACTTGTGAGCATTGATTTTGACAGTCGTTTGGGGCGGGGGAAGAACCATGGTGTAAAGGCGGTAGAGAGCCATCGACACAACGATGTCAGCGAGGGAGACGCGCTCGCCAACGAGATAGGTCCTGTAGGTGAGGTGCTTGTTGAGCAGCTCAAGGGCCTTCTTGATGTCGGCCTTGGCGCGCTCGGTGGCCTCGGCATTGAAGGGCACAATCTCGAAGATCGGGTACAACCAGGCGGAGGCGGGCAGCTCGATCTCGTTGGCCGAGAAGTCGATCCACTGATCGATCAGCGACTGGAAAAAAAAATGTAAAGAGATGCGGTGAGAAGGGCCAGGAAAAAAAGCGGGTCCTCAAATCCATCGCGCAATTGAAAGCGCGAGGGGCTACTTACGGCCTCATAAGGGCTGGAACCGTAGATCTTGGAGCTACCACCATACCTGGCCGCTAAAGAGAGCGGAAATTGGAGGTGAGAAAATACAAAATGTGGGAGTAGTTGGTGGTGGAAGGGCCAGCGCACCATAGCGGGCAATGGCGTTGCTCTCGAAGAGAGGACCCTCAGGGGTCTCGAGGGCGGGAACCTTCTGGAGAGGGAACTTGGCCGCGAACTCGGGAGTCTTGTTATCGACTCCGATCTGGAAGGCAGGGGCCTCGATCTGGAGACCAGTGAAGTTTCCGGCGATCTGGGCCTTCCACACGCGGTGGTTGTTGGGGTACGAGAAGATCTTCTGCTCCCATTGATCACGGAACGCACCAGACGATTACATGACGCGAGATGAGTACATACACGAACAACCGAACCACGGCACAAGGGGAGCAGAGAGAGAGAGAGAGAGTTGGCCACGCACGTGAGACATGAGGGCTGGAGGCGACTGCTACTGCGACTGTGTACGGTGCGAGGGCAAAGGCGAAGAACAGGCGGCCAGCGTGCCCACGCTTGCGTCCGTCGGGGTTAGCCCCCCCCCAGCATTCGTAGTATTTTCTCAGCACCAAAACCCCAGAGGAAAAATTGTGGGGGAAAAAGAAAAGCGCCAGTTTATGTTTTTTAAGAAGAAAGTTCGGGCTTTGGGCGAGGGATGACGGTGTGAATGTGGCGGTGGTGTGGTTGTTGCTGTTGTTGTTCTACGAGAAGGCGGCGTCGAGGAGCTGGGTGAGCTGGCGCTTGTGGGCCTTAGCGGAGCCGGTGGCGGTGGAGGCGGACACGGCGCGGCCAAAGTAGGCGGGCTCGGCGTGGGCGTGGGCGGCCTTGGCGAGGGCAGTGCGCATGTGGGGGCTGACAAAGGTCCAGGCGCCCATGTTCATGGGCTCCTCCTGGACCCAGCCGGTCGTGGCGTTGCGGTAGCGCAGGGCCTGCTCGGCGACGCGGTCGAAGGGGAACGGGGCGAGCTGCTCGACGCGCACGATGGCCACGTCATTGATGGCGGCCTTCTCCCGGCGCTCGGCGAGGTCGTAGTAGACGTTGCCGCTGCAGAAGAGCACCTTTCGGATGCGGTCATCGCTTACCGGGTTCTCCGCGGTGTCGTTAATCACGCGCCGGAAGCGGGGCTGGGTGCCCTTGTCGGAGAACTCCTCCAGGCTGGACACGCAGCGCGGGTGGCGCAGCAGCCTCTTGGGCGACATCACGATCAGCGGCTTGCGGAAGTCGCGGTGCACCTGGCGACGGAGGGCGTGGAAGTAGTTGGCCGGCGTCGTCACGTTCACCACCTGGATGTTGGCCTGCTGGATCTGACGCCGCTCCGTCGGATCCATCTCCGGGATCACGAACGGATCTGAGTCCGACAGCTGCAGGAATCGCTCCAGCCTTCCCAAGGGGGGAATTTGGCGGATGGGTGTGACACGTGAGTGACCCCACCCCCGCGAGAGATCCCAATACTAGGCGCGACACACACGACACGACACGACACGACACGACACGCACACGACACACACACACACGACACACACACGACATGCATACCTGGCGGAGCTGTGCTCGGGTCCTTGCCCATCATAGCCGTGGGGAAGCAGCATGACCAGGCCCGACTGGCGTTGCCACTTCTGCTCGCCAGACGAGATGAACTGGTCCACGATCACCTGCGCCCCGTTGGCAAAATCGCCAAATTGCGCTTCCCAGAGCACCAGCGAATTGGGATTCTCCTGCACGACGCCGCCAGGTCAGGTCGCGTGAGTCAATCAATGACAAAGCACAAGCAAACGCCACGCCATCTGGCGAGAGAGTACCAGGGAGAAGCCCAGCTCGTAGCCCAGGACGGCATACTCGGAAAGGGAGGAGTTGTGCACAAACACGGGCGCCTGCGCCGGGTCGATGTGTCGGAGGGGCTGGTAGGTCTCGCCGGTCTCCCTGTCGTGCAGGACCGCATGCCTGGAGCGGAGCAGAGGAGTCAGGAGACACCCGGCGGCGGCGGCGGCGGCGGCAGAACCCAATCCGGTAATTTGATTTGTTGGGTGATAATATAAAGAATATAAAGAATATAAAGAATAAGAATAAGAAAAAGAATCTGTTAAGAAACATACCGGTGCGAGAAGGTGCCGCGCTCGACATCCTGACCGGTGAGGCGGATCAGGTTGCCCTCAAGGGCGAGGGAGCCCAGGGCGAGCTGCTCAGCCGTGCCCCAGTCGATGTTCTTGCCCGATTCGAACATGAGCTTCTTGCGCTTGATGAGCTTCTCCAGGTTCGGGTGCAGCTTCATGCCCTCGGGCAGCGAGCTCACCGTGGCGCCGATCTATTGTCGTTGTCGTCATCATCATCATCATCATCATCGTAACACACACGGTGGGATCGGTGGAGGGGCGGTGAGCGACTGGCGACCGTGGCCGGAGGAGGCGGAAGCGGAGGAGGCGGATGGGGGGGGGGTGTACCTTGGAGATGACGGCGTCGGGGATGGCGGTGGGGCGGATGGAGGAGTACTGGTGGGCGGACTTGAAGCCCTTCCAGTAGGAGGAGAACCAGTCGGCCTTGTTGGGGACGTGGGTGGAGGAGGCCTGGAAGGCCTTGTTGTGCTCCTCGTTGACAAAGTCCTCCATCTGCTTGATGCGCGCGTCGTCGACGACGCCCTCGGCCTTGAGCTTGGCGCGGTAGAGGTCGAGGGTGGACTGGTGCTTCTCGATCATGCGGTACATCTGGGGCTGCGTGTAGCGCGGCTCGTCGCCCTCGTTGTGTCCGGCGCGGCGGTAGCAGATGATGTCGATCACGACGTCCTTCTTGAAGGCCTGCCGGTACTCGGCGGCGAGCTTGAGCGTGTGCACGACGGCCTCGGGGTCGTCGCCGTTGACGTGGAAAATGGGCGCATTCACGGTCTTGGCCACGTCCGTGGGATACGACGACGCCGTGTTGGTGCGCGAGCCCCTCAGCGCCGTGGTGAAGCCCACCTGGTTGTTGACGACAATGTGGATGGTGCCGCCCGTCGTGAAGTTCTTCCAGATACCGAGGTCCAGCGTCTCGTAGACGACGCCCTGCGACGCAAACGCAGCGTCGCCGTGCAGGAGCACCGGCATCACCCTGGTACGCTCGGTGTCGCCCATGTACTGCTGCTTGGCCCTCGCCTGCGATTGTGTGTCGTGTGTGTGTTGTGTGCCGTGCCGTGCCGTGTGTGTCGTGTGTGTGTTGTGTGCCGTGCCGTGCCGTGCCGTGTCGTGTCGTGTCGTGTCGTGTCGTGTCGTGTCGTGTCGTGTCGTGTGTTACGCAACATACGCATACATCAGACCAAATAAGTAAATTGCATGGTGCTATCCCCCCCCCCCCATGCGACGCGATGCGTGGAGTAGGGTGGTGTACCTTGCCCTCGACGACCGGGTTGACGGCTTCGAGGTGGGACGGGTTGGCCACGAGAGAGAGGTGGACCTTCTTGCCCGAGGCGGTGGGGCGGTCGTAGGAGGTGCCCAGATGGTACTTGACGTCGCCCGTGCCGAGACCCAGGTCATCGGAGTGGTCCTTATTGCCCTCCAGGTCGAACTCGTGCAGCAGCGCATCCAGCGGCTTGCGCACCACGTTGGCCAGCACGTTCAGGCGGCCACTATAACAACAATAACAACAACAGCAGCAGCAGCAGCAGCAGCAGCAAAAACGATCGAAGCACCATCAGCCAGGGTCAGCGCAGTTTGCTCCCTCTCGCGCTCACACAAGAGGCGTGGGTGCAAATTGGAGGGGGGGGGCGCACCGGTGGGGCATGCCGATCACGACAGACTCCACGCCAAGATCCGCCGCAGTGTCGATCATGGTCTTCATGCCGGGGATCAAGGTCTCGCACCTGGTCGCCGCGTGACCCCACCAACTCCGTCGTTACTAAGTGGCACCACCAGCAGCAGCCACCAGCGCAGCCACCAACGCGAGCACGAGCACCGGGTGTGTGTGTGCTACGGACCCGTCGAGGCCGAAGCGCTTGGTGTTCTGGTACTTCATGGCCAGGAAGCGCTCGAAGAGGGTCGCCCACGTGAGACGGTCGAGAAGGTGGAACTTCTGCTCGGGCGAGAACGAAAAAGGCTCCGGGGTCTCCACGCGCTCCCTATGAACGTTCAACGCCGGCGATGCACCCCCTGCTGGTCAGCTGACACCACCGGGAGGGCGGCTCTGTAGAGGACTGTTGGGGGGGGGGATTAGCAGAGCGGCGCACCTGATCCAGTTGCACTCGTGGCGGTCGGGGATGTGCATGTACTCCACGCCGATGGTGCTGCAGTAGGTCTGCTTTAGACGCACCAGGATCTCCCGCAGCGTTACCGTGGCACTGCGCACCCCGCCCACCCCATCATCATCGTCATCATCGTCGTTGTGATCAGCATCAACAACGTCAACATCAACAACATCGACAACCGCCGCCGGCCGTTCGTCGCAGGGAGGGCAGGTACCTGCCGTGGGAGAGGAAGCCCGAGATGACGGACTCGCCGCCCAGGTGGATCGGGCGGTCCATGTCGGCATCGGTGAAGCCATAGGTGGAGGGAAGCAGCTCCGGAGGGACGAACGAGGAGAGCGGGCCACCGGTGAGCGGGTCCAGCTTGGCCAGCGTGTGGCCCCGCACCTGGTAGGCACGCACCAACAGCAGCAGACGCATCGAATCGCTCACCCGACGCGAGAGATCCTCCTCCGACACCCCGCCTACACACACACACACACACACGCCCACATCCCCAATGCACCCCACCCACCCATATATATTTCAATATATAGGGGGCACGCGGGTCAAACACTAAAGACACAAAAGACCACCGCACTATCGGACCGCCCCTCTTCGTGGGTTTTTTTTTGTTTTTTGCTTTACATTATGGATATATCGACGTAATAACTTTTTTTAAAAAAACGGACGAAGTGAATCGACGGGAAGAACTACAAAAGAAGCGGGCACATAAACAAACCAACTAAATACAAACAAACAAACAAACTAAATACAAAATAAAGCCCCGCATGGCGGGTAAATCGGGAGGTATGATGGTTGTTGTGGTTATTGTTATTTTGAGGGAATGAGTAGGAGGGAGGGGGGTACCGGCGGGGGGAACGGCGGCGGTGGCACCGCGAAGGGTGGGGGGAGCGGTGAAGGCCTCGCCGGGGGCGCGACCGGCGTCGACGGAACGGAAGTAGGAGGCCCACGAGGCGTGCACGCTGTTCGCATCGCGCTTCCAGGCCTGGTACATGTCCTCGACGTAGGCGCCCGAGGTCCCATCGGCGAAGGTTTCCGACAGACGCGAGAGGGGCACCGCCGACGACGACGTGGGAGAGGCCGCCGCCTGACGCGAAGCCGTTGTGAGGGAGTACCAACGCGAAGACGCCCCGCCGGTGAGCGACGAAGAGGCAACGCGTGATCCCGCAAATCCGGCGCGGCCCATTCCCGTGAAGGCCAAGGGTCCCCGGCTCAGTAGACCGGCCCGCGCTCTAGATGACAGCATTCTTCGCTGCACGTGGTAGTCGCAGTAGTCGTGCCGGTGAAAACGGATTATTGTTGGTTTGTTGTTTGGGGGGGGGAGGTGGTTAACTCAGGTGGCCTATTACTGTTTCAGTGGCGGCACGAACTCACGAGTACAGTATCAGAGGACGAAAGGGACGCACTTGGGATCAGGGGAACAGGGCAGAAGCCAGCAGCAGCAGCAGCAGCACTCTTGTTCGTAGAAGCACAACGACGTCGTTGTGAGATCTTTTGGGTTCTGTCCGCGCGTACCCTCCGCACCGTTTTCTTGGTTTTTCCGGCGCCACGCAAAGTAATTGCTTGTTCCTGCCTTCGTTTCCTTTCATTTTTCTTTTGATCTTGGGCCTGCCCAAAAAAAAGAGAAAAGAAAACAGAAATCAAAAGCAAAAGAAACCGCCAAAAAAACCCAACCCAGCCAGAATCGTCTCCATTTCCAAGCAGTAGGCACATGGGCGACGCTGGTGGTTTCTTTCGGGTACCTCCTCCAGTGCGGCCTCGCACACCAGCTTGATTGAAGCCAGGAGCGTGCGATATCATTCATGAAAGAGGGCTGAGTGCCAGCGTCTGCACTGCAGGGTACAAGTACGGAACAGGATGCGCGATTCTCGGACAAGTACAAGAAGTACGTCGCCGGCCGCAAATTTCCGCCCGAGTTCGATCTCAAGGTTTGCGGTCCCTCCTCTTTCGCCGTCTTTTCGCACCACCAGCTGTGTGCACTGCAGTGCCGGGGGGGGGGCAGGCAGGCAAGCGCGCGTGGTGTGGTGGGTCCTGGCCTGAGCTGGCTGGCTGGCGACTTGCTCGCTCGCTTGCTTGGTGCACGTGCAGGTTGACTTGAGGAAGGTGGCCATGGACGCCATCAAGCCGTGGGTGGCGTCGCGCATCACCCAGCTCCTGGGCTTCGAAGACGAAGTGCTCATCGGCTTCGCCTTCGGCCTCCTCGACGACAAGGTGGCTCCCCCCCACGCCTTCTTTGGGAAGTGCACTGATTTAATTGTCGTGTGTGTGTGTGTGTGTGTGTCTGTGTGTGTCTGTCTGTCTGTCTGTCTGTGTGTCGTGTGTGCGTGCGTGTGTGATCTTGGCGTGCGCAGGAGTCGTTGAACCCGAAGGAGTTGCAGCTGAACCTGGACGGCTTTTTGGAAGCCGACTCACCTCAGTTCGTGGCAGACCTGTGGAAGCTCCTCCTGAGTGCTCAGGCAAGCCCGGGAGGCATTCCCGCCGAGTTCCTCGAGCAAAAGAAGGCTCAGCTTCGCCAGAAGAGGGTATTCCCTCCATCCCCCCCCCTCCTCTATTTTCCTCAATCCCACGTGTGCGGCTCGACCCCCCCCCGGCCACCCTCGCCGTAACGCAGGAAGAAGAATCGCGCGTGAAGAGCGATTTGTCGGCCGTCATCAGCCGCGACAAGGAGCGCCTGATGCAGGAAATCGAACAGCGCAGGGCTCAGCCCCCGCCGGTCCCTGCCCCCGCGGTGGTACCCGCCCTCTTCGCCGCCTCCGCCTCCGCCTCCCATCAACTGAGCAGCCCCCCTTTTCGGCTGTTGATGGTGGCGCATGTGTGTTGTGTTCGCGCATAGGCTGCTGGAGGCTATTCCACAAAAACGGCGCTGCCCTACGGCCTTTTTGTGCCGGATGCGAAGCAACCCATCCTGCCGCAGACCGATCTCGCCAACGCGGCGAGCAACCCACCTTCGGAGGCGGCGGCAGTGAACCACGGCAGGTGCGCACCCACTACACACGATTACCACACGACATACACACACGCACACGGCACATGGGAGGCTGGTCATTCTCGTGGGCCGGAGGAAAAGAAGTGAGGAGGAGGAGGAGGAGGTTGCCTAAGGCGTGTGTGTTTGGTGTGGGCGCCGCACGCGTGCAGGAGTGAGGAGGGCAGCCGTAGGCGAGATCGCGACGCAGACAGCGACAGGGACCGCCACCGGACTGATCGCCGTTCTCGCGAGCGTGGCCATCGAGACCGAAGCGCTGACCGCGATCGCGATAGGAGAAGGGACAGGCGGAGCGGGAGGGAGAGAAGGAGCAGGAGCAGGAGCAGGGGCAGGGGCAGGAGAAGGGACGACAGCCGGGAGAGGGAGCGGGCGAGGGACGGCGCCACGGACAGCGGCGGACGTGAGCGAGGAGACCGAAGGCAGTCCCGGGACCACCACCACCAGCACCAGCACCACCAGCAGCAGCGGGACGAGCGTGCGAGGAGAAGCGGGAGCGAGGAGCGCGCCAAGAGAAAGAGGAACGAGGGCAGCGGCGCCGGGGATCGCCCCGACGACCGCCGCCGCCGGGATAACAACAGCACTACTACCACCACCACCACTACCACCACCACCACCCGTGGTAACGACGCGGCCTCCTCCCCCACGCCCGCCAAGCGCGCACGCCCTGACGGCGACGGCGCGGCCTCTCCAGTTGACCGCCGTCAGCAGGAGCAGCACGAAGAGGCCAGCGACCCGCACCTCCTCGAATCGGCACCGTGGCCCCTGCCCCCCCCCACCCCTGCGCGGCGAGTGCTTACGTTTCCCACACACCACACACGCACCACGCACCACGCACCACCACGCCCACAGGCGCTGAGGGAGCAGGCCATGCACAGCCTGCTGCACCGCAGCCGCGAGCGGTCGGACGAGTAACCAGCACCATCGGCCGCCGCCCCAGCAGCCGCCGGCTTACGCCTCCCTCATTGTGCCCCTCGGTGGTGGTGGTGGCTGGTGGTGGCTGGTGATGGTGATCTTTACACGCGCGGTTTCTACAGGAGATAAAGGTTTCCTTCGCCCCCAATTGGCCGTGACATCGCCGTAGTCGTGGGGTTGGCGGTGTCCCCCCTTGGATATGTGGGGTGTCTTACAGGACCGTGGTGGTGGTGGGGGAGGCAAGCCCGGCTGTCTCGAGGCGGGCCACAAGTCGCTGGAGGCGCCCCGCCGCCGTTGGCGTGAGTTGCGTCTCGCTCAGCGCACACGCCTGCTTGAGCTCCTCGGCCGCCGGCACCACCTGGTGAGCCACCAAGTGCACGCATTTATAAATAAAAGCAAATAAAAGAGGGATAAGAACTGAGGAGCTCAAGTGCGTGCCTCCCCCAGTGCGATCAGGCAGAGAGAGCGGCGAAATCGCGCCATCCACCACGTCGGGGCCAGGGCCACTGCCGCGTCGGCGTCCCGCTGCACCACGGTGGTAACATAGGTTGAACGAACGAACGAACGAACGAACGAACGAACGAACGAACGAACGAACGAACGAACGGCGGGGGGCGGTGGGCGGGATGTCGTTAGCGGTGGGCCACAGCCGGGGGATAATGATAATGGGCGATGATGTGGGGGGGGGGAGGAGGGTGTACCAGGGCATCGGGCAGACGGGCCAGTCGGGTGAGGGCGGCGCATCGGCGCAGGTGGAGGTAGGGGAGCGTGCCATCCACGTCCAGCGCCTCCCCGTACCGGTCGGCCGCCGTCGCGTAATCTTCGCCGCACAGACAGTGGTCAGATCAGGGGGAATTGGGAGGCGACGTAACGCAGCCGGGGGCAAGGGAGGGGCCGGGTACCCGCTCGCAGGGCGGCCGCTTCGCCGGCCCGCACGAGGGCGGAGACGAGGCGGCGTCGCCTTTCGAGGCGAATCGGAGGATGGAGCGAGAGGTCGTAGGGCTCGTCGGTAAAAGCCGTCGGCC